GGGGAGGAAACATTTAGGAACTAGAGGAAAGTTGTATTTCTCATCGTTGTTATATTGCACCCTGACTGGCTCATCTTCCTGAGACCCCTCTGCAAGGGGATCTCCAGTGGCCTACTCATGGACTTTGGATCTCCACTCCGCACTCCCCCCATCATTCTTCCCCTCGCTCTTTCTTGTGCCTCATCCCACCACTGTCAACAAGAGGAAGCTGGACAAGGCACCTAGGATCAAGGCCAAGTGGGGCAATGGCAGGGCCTCACCCCCTCGGTGACTGGCTTGGGTGGGCATGGTGGGCGGGCGCAGGGGATGAGTGCTCGGACTCTCCCATTGCTGCCCGGAGAGCTGGTGAAAGACAGCTCAGATGTCTGTTCTCGCAAATGATTTCCCAGATTTCTCATCAGGATTGTTGCGCTTTATCATAAACGAGGGAACCATGAACTGATATGTGGTCAGACATTGTCCTTACGGATGTTAAGCAGTACCTATCGCTAATCAAATGGGGGATTCTTGTCTCAGGCCGTGAGCCCAAAGATATAGAGCGGATGGGACAGGTCAGACTCCCATTCACGAGGCCGTGTAGCGCAGGTGAAGCTTCTGAAGGACGACGCCTCCCGTGATGACCTTTCAAGGTAAAAGAAAATCAGTGTAATCATCACAAATGGCGTGGCTCCCAACGCAAACGAACTGTCAGCTCCTTCTCGCTATTGGAAAGGGTGCTGTGGCACCCAAACATGGAAATCACACCTGAGATTACATGGGGATGGGATGGCTATGTGATCACAGGGGCAGATAGGGTGGTCTCTTGATCACTCTCTCCCAGCATCAGCTATACCTTATTTGGGGTACAGGCCCCACAGGCACTGAGAAATCTCTTTGGCAAGCTTTTCCGCCAACCTTTCGGGCTGTCATATGTATTTGCTGAGGGCAGTTTATCTAGCTACGGGTCAAAGCAAAAGCAAGGTTGAGATGAAAATGTAGTCTAAAGTAAGATGGAGTTGAATTCTGGACCAGGTCAAGCCGTTTAGTTAAGCCAGATGCCTCCGTTTTGTTTGGGGCTGTCTTACAGACATGCCTCCTCTGGGGCCGGCTGACCACTCACAATGGCAGGACCTGTCTTTGGCAGGGACTTCCGTCGTGTCACAGACTATCCGTCGTCTTGGGTCTTTTTGCTCAGTAGCCCATTTCTTGCCATCTTACCATGTTAATAGGCCTCTTCTTCAGGGTGAGTTGATTCCCACTGGGCTTAGAGTTACAAACAGGGCCACACGAGAGGAACCGTTTGACACCCTAAAAGTGCTAATAACCCCGGGCATAAAATCAGTCTCTTCTGAAAATGTGGTTTCTTCCGAATACATAATCAGCGAAGGGAGTGGCAGTGGAGTTACATATATTAAATAAAACTTCATGGCACATTTGATTATACAGTGATTATTATAATGATCGAGACAACCATGCTACATAGGCACTAACACCCTCTCGTAATCAGCTAAAAATATTAAAAGAAGGAACCAGTCATAGGGAGTATTGAAGGCAACCAAGTAGCCTTCTGGCAGGTCTTTGTAATGTCTTGCTCTGCTACCTGAAGTTCATTAACCAAGAGCAGCAAGTGGTATCAGCAAGATCACATTTTATTCTTTGTTCAAGCTAAACAGAAATCGAGAGCCATTCTATTGTCTAAAATTGACATGGGATTCTAGAGATTGTTGGTGGTGGCCGTTCCGTCTGCAGGCTTGCACTTGGAGTGACGGTGTTGTCAGGCGCCACAGATGGCGTCCGTGTTGACCCACGGTGAACCGAGAAACAGCAGAATGAAACGCGGCTGAGTCCCGTGCCAGCCTCATGGTGGTTAACGTGTAAGCCCACTTACGTGTCAAGTTGCAGCCGCCGTGTCTATCCATGTCATTGAGGGGCTTCCTCCTTTTCAGTGACCCTCCGTTTTCCCAATCTGATGTCCTTTTCCATGGACTGGTCTTTCTTGATAACATGTCCACCATCCTCTAGGGAGCATTCTAACGACTTCTTCCAAGACGGATGTGTGTGTTCTTCTGGAAGTCCAGGGTGGTCTGTGCCAATACGATCACTCCAGTGCATGGATTCTTCTCCGGCTCTCCTTTTTCACTGTCTAGCTTTCACACGCATAGGAAGCAATGAAAAATGCCACGGCTTAGGTCAGGCACACCCTAGTATTAGTAGAGACCTAGATAGAAGATATGCTGAGAAACAAGAGCTCCGCATTTTTTCATTTTTGTTTAATAAAGGTTTCTGATTTTGTACAAATACTTTGCGTCACTTACCCTCTCACAAGGAGCACTGTTGGCAGCATTGGGCTGTAAGGTCAGCTATTCGGAACCACAAGCCCTCCCTGTGGGAGAAAGAGGAGGCTTCCTCCTCCTGTCAAGAGTCACCGTCTCGGAAACCCACAGGGCCAGTTCTACCCCGCCTCTGGGCTCGCTAGGAATCAGAACCAGCTTGACAGCGGTGAGTTACTCTCTTGCACAGTTAATGTTAGGGACCCTCCACTGAGGTAGATTTATTTCCATTTCTAGGTTCATATTATGAATGATTCTCCATTTACTGCTAAGGAATCGATCCTGCCTCATGGCTTTTGAAAGTGTAATCCTGGAAGTGACTTACACATTATGGGATTTGAGATCATCACAGAAAGCGTACTATGGGGTTTCAGTGAGGGTAATGTGCTTGGAACAGAGTCTGGTCCTCCATAAACACTGTCTGTAGTCTATTATTTTCATTATTGAATCATACTAAGGGACTGGTGTAAACAGCTCAACCCTCTTAGCAGGTCGGTATCATTGAGAGACCCGTTTTCAAAATGAGGAAATAGTTCAGTAAGATGAGGACCCTCCTCCGTCACACAGTGAGCCTGAGACACAGCCTAAAGCCCAGAGCTCCTATTAGGCACATCTGTAGTCTCTGTCTGTAGCTTCCTCTCAGCCTGCCTGGCTATAGGATCCTATAGGCACATACATATACTGTAAGGTGACCAGACGTCCCGCTTTCTCCAGGACAGTCCCGATTTTTAACAATTTGTCCTGCGTCCCGCAGCATTTTTAAAAAGTCCCGATTTTTGGAAAGAATGCACGACAAGCTAGGGTATACGGTTTTCGGCTGCCATGTGGCTATTTCGCCAGGATATGAGTTTTATCAATGGTGTCCTGCTGGTGCCCCGCTTTACCAATGTTAAAATCTGGTCACCTTAATATATGGTCTACGGGCCTGGGGTCTTGGAACTGACTCCTCCTGGGTACCCTCTTTCCCTAGAGCTGGAGATGGCCAAGGCCCGGAACCAACTGGATGCTGTGCTGCAGTGTCTGCTGGAGAAGAGCCACATGGATAGGTGAGGACCCAGACCAAGGGGTGGGGGGGTGCCACAGGGGGCTAGGGAACCAGTAGGTGGAACCTTCTTGTCCTGGGTGGGCCTGGGTGGGACCCTAGAAACTGGCTTGGGGAAGAAGGTGCCCAAAGGGAGGTCACTTGGTGCCTTCCCACGCTGGGCCCTTGGAACCCTGAGCGAACCGTTCTCTTCTGCTACCAGGGAGCGAGGAGATGAGGATGCTGGGAGGACGCCCTCGGACACCCACAATAAGTAAGCTTCTGAGATAGGACCTGCAGCTGACGGTTGGTGCTCCATCTCTGCTTCCTCCAGCACAGCCCTGACCCCTCCACGTGTCCAGAGACCCGGTGGCAAGAGAAAGCTTAGCTCCCCTGTGGTGGGCACCTGGATCCCCAGGGACGTGGGTTGGACGTGTGATCGTCCGAGGCTTGATCCCAGTATCCCCAGGGTGCCCCTCGAGAGGTGCTGCGCAGTCTTTGTTCAAGGTGGGGTCAGCCTGCTGACACCCTGTCTCTCCCCACAGGGACTGCTCCATCGCCGCCACCGGCAAACGGTAAGGTGGCGGGGACCTCAGTCAACTGACAAGGGGTTCCCAGCCCCCACCCGGCTTCTAACATTCCCCCACCCCTCCCCTACAGGCCGTCCACCCGCTTCCCTCACCAGCGGCGCAAGAAGAGGAGAGAGATGGATGATGGGCTGGCCGAGGGAGGGCCTCCACGATCCAGTGAGTGGGCAGTGCCCTATAGAGGGCCAGCGGAGGCCAGAGGACTCTGTGAGGATGTCCACTCACCTTCCATCCCCACCCCTCCCCAGACACGTATGTGATCAAGCTGTTTGACCGGAGTGTGGACTTGGCCCAGTTCAGTGAGAACACCCCGCTGTACCCCATCTGCCGTGCCTGGATGCGCAACAGCCCCACCTCTCGCGAGCGAGACCGGTCACCCACCTCACCGCTACCCCCGCCTCCTGAGGATGAGGAGGTGGGCAGCCACAGGGTTTGACCTCCACCCCCACCCCCCTCTCTGCCAAGCTAGCAAGGCAGTCAGGAGTAGGCCCCTGTGTCCCTCAGCTATGGCCCACGAATCCGATGAGGGGTGCCAAGTTGAACCCTCGAGCCTGGGAGGATTAGATAGAAGCCCTTGGCCAGACCAGCCTGCCCTGGCAGGGTGGGAACAGGGCTCCTCTGGGCAGGTGGACACAACCTTCAAATTTGGGGTCCCCAGGAGCTCGGCTAGCCAAGCTGGTCATCTGGTTGAAGGAGGTGAAAAATAGGGTTTCCCTAGACAAACAACCCCCTTATAGAGGTGGCCCAGGCAGGACAAACATGGCCCCTTGAACTGGCCAGGGTAGAGAAGACTTTCCCATGGCAGGTGAGAACGGTGAGAGGAGGTCGGTCCCCCAGGTGACAGAGATGTGTCCCTTGGATAAGGTTCGCTAGGGCAGGCCAACCTGATCCCCAGGGTGGGCAGTGGCCCTGCCCTTTAGACATGACTCACGTCTTGTCACTGGAAAAGGCTAGAGACACAGTGTGCATTCACAGCCCTCTGACTCCCTTGAGCCGGCTGTGGGGCCCTTGTGTGCCCAGGGGTCAGAGGTTACCAACAGCAAGAGTCGCGATGTGTACAAGCTGCCTCCACCCATGGCCCCTGGAGATTCCTGCAGAACTCGGATTCCCTCCCCGTTGCAGCCTGAGACCCAGGGTACCCCGGATGATGAGGTGGGTGTGCCAGATTGGACCGGGACTGGGGCTGACCCACGTTATGGGGCTTAGGGCACGGCCACCCAGCCTGGCCTCTGTGTCCACACAGCCCGCCGAGCCCGAGCCGGCACCCTCCACCCTCATCTATCGCAACATGCAGCGCTGGAAACGCATTCGCCAGAGGTGAGCCCTCCCCAACCCGCCGGCCCACGGTGGCCTCCGCCCCAACTGCTGAGCCTTTCCCGTGTCGTGTCCCCTTCCCACCTCACCCACCCCAGGTGGAAGGAGGCATCCCATCGGAACCAGCTCCGTTACTCAGAAAGCATGAAGATCCTACGGGAGATGTACGACCGGCAGTGATGTTTTCTCAGCTCCCGACCCCAATAAAAACCCTCCGCCTCCGTTGTTCTGGCCTCCGCTTACTCTAGCCCATCCCCCACCCCGCCCCCTCTCCTCCGTGGCCCAGACAGACACGAGGCAGCTGGCCGAATTCCAGCACGTTTATTGGAGTGGGCTTAGGTGGGGTGGGGGTGGGAGGCAGCAGGGAGGTTGCTTGGTTGATCTTGAAAAATAGAGGGGAGATTGCCGGGAGTAGCTGGCCAGAGGCTTGGGGCTCAGGAAAAAGATGGGGGGAAGAGGTTCTGGTTGGAGCAGGCGTGGGGTTTGGGCTATCTATGCCATCAGGGGAGGTTGGGGAATAATTTGAGGGTGGGGGGTCTGGCTGGCCTGGGACCAGGTGGTTCCGTCCCCGCGACTGGGCTCCTTGGGCTGTGGGTGTGGCCATGCATGACTCTGGTCTGGGGCAGGGCTGCGGAACAGAATCTGGACTTAGAGCTTGAAAAAGGGAGTAGGGGAGGGGGGCTGTCTTGAGAAAAGGAATATCTGCCAAGAAGGTGGGGTCAAGTTTGGGTGGGGGTGGGGAAGGGTCTACAAGGGGTATCCAGGCTAAATGTTAGGTGGCAAGGTCAGGGCATGATCCCAGCTGGGACAGGAGAGGGGTCTTGGCAAGCTGTGGACATCTGGCTGGGCGGAGTCAGGTAGGCTTTAAATGAGGGGGCCTCGGGCGGCTCCCTGCGTTCCAGCTGCGCTCCGGAGCCCCTACTTAGCCGCAGCTGGCGGCGGCGGCGGCGGCAGCGAGGACTGGGCCGGCGCCGGTGCGGCCTGGATGGACAGAACGCCCTCGGGAGACAGCGCGGATGTCACGGCTGTCGGATCCACACCCGCCGGCAAGCGGTAGCGGCGATGGAACTCACGCGCGACGAAGCCGTGCTCATCCTGGAGGAGGGGACAGCGGGAGGGGCGGGCTCGAGTCAAGGGGCCCCAGGATCCGGCGGGCCTTGCCCATCCCCTGACCAGAGCCCCGGCTCCGCCCCGCCTCCCGCCAGCTCTGGCCCCGGCCCCGCCCCTCCAGCTCGCTCACCGGGCGCTCCTCGTGGTGCGCATGCACCTCCACGTGGTCCCCCACCACCTTGACAGCAATTTCCTCTGGCGAGAAGTGCTTCACGTCGAGCAGCACCGAGAAGTGACCGGGGGCCGTCGGCACCTGGCTCCCCCGTGCAGGGTGGGGGTGGGGGTGGGGGTCATTGGGTGGGCGGAGGCTCTGGGAACCCAGCCAGACGCCGGCCCCCAGGATGGGGCCTCCGGAACGGGAGAGGCCCGGTCCCCACCCCTTCTACTAGGATAACTGTATTCGCTAGGGAACCCCTCCGAGTCAGGAGGCCCCCTTCCCCTGCAAGGTCAAGCCTCAGCATCGGGTCCCTCAAGGCTGGCTCCCCCTGTCATTAATCCCTAATTCACCATAACTCCTCCCATTCCCCCTCTCCCCTCCACCCCCGCAATCTTCCCACCCTCCCCTCTAGGCTACTGGGGCCCTAATCCAAAAATCACCAAGATGCCTCGACCCCCAATATCCGGAGTCCTTCTACCCGCCCACTGGAGTCAAGGGGCCTCACACCCCAGCAGTGCTGGGACTCCGCCCCCACTTCTCGGAGCAGGCAGGCTCTGCGCCCATAAATCACTGGGCCCCTTCTCCCTCTCCAGGAAACCTCGCCTCACCAGTGTCCAATCTCCTCTCGGCAGAGCAGAACATTCCTGCCACTGGGGAATCACCCAGGGGGCCCCACGGCCCTCGGACTGGCTGGGCCCCTCCCTCTTTCCAGATTCCCTGGGTTCCTAGCCCTTTTCAGAGTCCCCAAAAGTTGGCAGTGCCCTTGGAGTGAGTTAACCACCAGCCCCCACAGGGCCCAGTTTTCAACCACCGACATCACCCACTTAACGAGACCCCCAGAACGCCAAGGGATTTCTCATCCCTTTCCGTAACCCAGCGTGCCCATTCCTTTCCCACAGCCCCACCCCCACCCAAAGTCACCCTCACTCAAAATCACCAGCCCCGCGGGGCTCACCCAGACCTCTCACCCTAGGAAAGACCGGCTACCTGAGCTGGCACTTGGGCGGTGGGCAGTGCCACGCTGGGGGCGCGCAGGTAGTAAGGGGCGAGCGCGGCAGGGCACAGCGATGCCAGCTCAGCCTCCAGCAGCCCCTCGCCGAAGCGCTGGTCAAAGAGGCGGCCGGGCGTCGAAATCCCGGGCAGCGGGGCTGAGGCGCGACGCAGCCAAGAGGGCTGTACGGGCACTGGGATCTCCATCGTGCTTGCGGCCGCAGTGTGCCTCCGAGCGAGGGGCCCTGTCTTTATAACGCGCGCTTGAGCCCGCCCTTCGAGGGCCGCCCAGGGACACTGGGAGCGCGGCCAGATCTGGCCATTAGTAGAGCCTGATTTAGAAAGCCCAACAATTAGATGCCCATTCCATTTATTAAGCGCCTGCTGGATGCATAGTAAATAAAGGTCGCCAGGGAGGTGTCATGAAGATCCCCCAGTTTCAGAAGGGGAAACTAAGGCCCGGGAGGCGGAGCTTTAACACAAGTCCCGAAACCCCAGCGCCGGGAGGCCCTCAGCCCCCGTAATCCACCCTGGCCTCTTTGGGAGATGACGTAGGCGGCAGAGGGGAGGGGGTGAGGAGCAGATTCCAGAGTAGAGAGAATGTGGTCGCTGGGCCAGGCTGTCAGGAGGACACAGAACAGAGCGTACCCCCACCCTAAGCCCAGCCCCGTCGACAGGCCGGGGGTCTAACTCTGTGCCTCTGACTCAGCCCCAGGTGCTCAGGACAATGGAGTCTGCCAAGTGTGCAGCGAGCCAGGGGGCATGGGCACCAACCATTCAGGTTGGCCCTCAGGGGCCGTGCGCCCAGATCCAGAAATAGCTCCTTTTGATCCTGCCACCTATCCCCTTGGCCAAGAGCCCAGACCTGGCGTCTAGGGCGGCCAGCTGCTTCTGCAGCAAGAGAGAAATGGTTAGACGACTGGCAGTACAGGCTGGCTGGCTGAACTGACGGAGGGGGTGGCGGATAGAGACGGGGCAGGCCCCGATTGTCCCTGCAACGGGATGAACGGTGGTTAGACTGGAGTTGGGATGGGATGGCCGCCAACAACAGGGAAGCGGTGATAGAGCCGGCGGGCGGAAGAGCGAACGGACTTCAGGTGGCGACCTAACCGCTAGCCCAGCCTCGGATCCTTTTCATTGGTGCACGCGCCTGCCAATTACTTAGTGCCCGCTGCAGACCGACCAATCACACGCGCTCTCTCAAGCAGACGAGCGTGAGAGCCAATCACGAGACACCTCCTTTTTGCCATTTACCTGTTATCTTTATTTTCCTCTTGATCATTGGTTGTCTTAGAGGCCGCTCTTTCCGCGCGGGTTTTCTCACGAAGAGGAGGGGCCGATTGCTAAGCGACGCAAGATGCGCGCGGGGTCTGCCGGATCACCGTGCTGGACAGACAGCCGCGCCATGGTGGCCGCAGGTGAGCCGGGGCTTTTCCTAGAGAGTGACGGCGACACAGCCCAGGCTCAAGTTCGATGGGGTCCCGAGTCGCTCCGGCTCCCGGCTCGGCCGTAGTAGAACCACAATTCCCAAGATGCTTCACGTCCTGGGCCGCGTCAGCCTTGGGCTTCACCGTCCCAGCGGTCCCGGACGCGTCGTTTGTTCCGTTCGCTTTCAGTGGCCCCAAGAGCTTCTTTCCTCTAAAGATGTCCAAGAACGTCTAGAAAATTAGGTTGCTTTCGATTGCAGTTGCCCCAGACACGCACGATAGACGGTGCCTTTGAATGTTCTCTTTTGAGCCCGGGCTCAGTGACTCCGGATTGCCCAAAACCCGTTGCCCCGGGTCCATGCAGACTCAACAGCGTTTTGTAGGACAGAGTAGAACTGCCCCACCGGGTTTCCAAGGAAACAGGACTTTAGGGTGTGTTTTTTAAAGGGGTTTCTTTAGGGAAACAAGACTCACATCTTTCTCCCAGGGAACAGCTAATAGATTCTAACCGCAGACCTTACTGTTAGCAGATGGGGGCATAGCCAGGACCCCTTTGGGAGTCTTATTCCAACCCATTGCGATTCTGATTCCTAGCGACCTTGTGGGAGAGTGCGGAGCTGCCCCTGTGGGCTTCTGAAACTGTAACTCTATGGGACTAGAGAGCCTCATCTTTCTCCCATAGAGAGGCTGGTGGTTTCGAACTGCTGACCTTGGGGCTGGCGGCCTGATGTGTAACCCACTAGATCTCCAGTGCTCTTTAAGGGAGATTAGAGTCCATTAAACTGTCTGTTCTACACTGGTGCCCCAGGATCTTATGGGAAATGTCAGAGATAGGGACTAGCGGCGGTTGTCAACACCTGGGATGCTCCCAGAAAGAGCTGGGTGCTTAGCCCCGACTTTCAGACATTCTGCTTCTGTTGTTCTGGGGTGGAGGTTGCACATCTGTGCTTTTAAAAGGTCTGTCCTAGACTGGACCTGGAAGGCGTCCTGGGGGGCCCAGTCATTAAATGCTTGGCTCCTGCTGATCTACTCCCCCAAAGATTCCCAAAACCAACCCCGTTGCCATCGAATGGATTCCAGCTCAAAGTGAGAGCCCTTATAAGACAGAGTAGAACTGCCCCGTGCAGCGTCCAAGGCTGTAAGCCTTGACTGAAGGGGACTGCCACACCTTTCTCCTGCAGAGTAGCTGGTGCTTGAACGGTCCAACTTTGGCTTAGCACCCCGCTGCACCACCCGGGCTCTTCACCCTTAAAGATGACAGCCTAAAGAAACCCCGGGGGGAGTGCCACTTGGCAACATAGCTTCACCACGAATCAGAATCTACTCCTTGGAGTTGCATACGACAGCAAGCTAGATCCAGGGCTGAGAGCCAAGGGCTAGCAATGAGAGCTTGGCAGGATTGTGCCTTCAGGGTCTGTATCTTGCATGTGCCTTATGGGAATTAGAGCCCATCCCTTCTAGGGATCCATGGGACATGTAGTCTGAGCCTGTGCTCCTCCTCTGATGGCTGCAGCCATCAAACTTCCCACCCTAGGCAGGCCAGCACCCCCCTCAACAGTCTGCTCTCCCCTCGCAGCCTGCCAGTTCTCTCCATTCAAGGCAGTCCCTTTGAGGACAGCCTCCTGGGTCCGCTATAACTGGCCACCCCAAAGACAAACCCCAGGGCCCAAGGTCAGGACACCCACAGAATGTGCTGTGCAGCCAACCCAAGAGCCAGGTTAGATGGAAGGAAGATGTGGGATTAGTGATGGAGGTGAAAGGTTTGGAGATGACCCGTCCTTCCTACTCTCCTACCCAGTCACTCTAGATTGTCCATTGTGAGGTGAGAGCATCTTCTGTCCCCTCTGGACTGAGACGTCGTGTCTGTCTTCATTCCCGATTCAGAGTGACCCCTCAGTCCTCTCTTTCTCCACTCCTCCCCTCTCTCAGGCCTTGAGTCCATCCTGGCCCCAGAAACCCAGACTTCCAGCAGCTCCATGGCTTCCAACTCCCCTGAGCTGTTTGAGGAGTCGTGGCCCTCCAGCTCAGGGACCCCTTCCTCACTGGGCACCTCTGAGGGACAGATGGGGCTGTCCCCACCACTTACCCCGATCGACAGCGGAGACTCAGTGGTGGCGAAGTAAGTACTGGTGGCCCTGAGGGATAAGGAAAGTTTGGGCTAGAAACTGGCGGGCCAGCCCAGGTACATGGTAGGCATGATCAAGCGCTTGGGTTCTGGAGCGAGATTGCCTGGGTTCACAGCCTCTCTCTCTCTCTCTCTCTCTCTCTCTCTCTCTCTCTCTCTCTCTCT